ATATCCACATTACACACTGTTACTGTGAGCCCTGGTCCACACTGTATATATCCACATTACACACTGTTACTGTGAGCCCTGGTCCACACTGTATACAGTATATATTATGCATATTATGCACTGTCGCTATTAACTTTGAGCATTTAAAGGGGAACTGCGGTCCCAGTTTCTAATGAACAAAATGTATTAATTGTATCACAAAATTTGACAAAATCAGGAACTTTGTGACAGTAAATGTCATGATGTCACAAATCCCCGTCGCGCCACGGGTGAGAGCAAGAGTTTGGACGAATTGTGAGGTGAAGCGGCCCTTCCTGCTCACTAGTCACCTAGTCTCTGACATGACTGATGTGATGTACGAGCGAATAAGGACAGGTTCAGCGCAGAAATCTTCCAGCGTGATCTGCAGGCTCAGTAAGTCAGTAGTATTTGTCTGCAAAGCCGTCTCGCAATCGAAAGCAACATTCCCAAGGGATTAAAAGAGATGTATTCACAAGCCTGCTTGTTTATACTATAATAGCTTCACCTCACTGGAGGTTTCATCGCCTGCTTCTGAATCGCTGCGCAGACCTGGAAATCACGGCTGTTTTGTGATGAAATTTGGAGGTCTTACACGTTACTGTGTACATTTCACTGTCACTGTGGTTGGAAATGCTCTCCTCAACGCCAATTCTTACCAACCCCAAAATATAAAATATAAAATAGTGTAGCAGTTCCCCTTAAAAACTGAGCTCCAGCCACCTAACTGATGGATTGACTAATTCACTGATCGAACGATCGATCGATCGATCATCACGGCAAGCGTACCTCCATCCGTGCATCCGGAAACCGGGACACTGCTCTCCGCAGCGGTTGCAGGGCTGCCCATGATCCGGGTCCTGGCACTCCCCCTGCTGAGGGAACAACAGTCCAGTTAGAGCTGCTGGGCACAGGCACGGGCACTGGGCGGCGCAGGAAGGACACGGGGTCAATGCGCCAGAGCGCAGGGCAGAGCGGAGCCCCCCCCACTGGGAGTACCCCAGGGGCGCGTGCTGGGAACTGCCGACAGCCCCTCCTGCACTCTCAGGACAGATCCACAGAACTCCTGCCCCCCCCCACCGACTCACACCGCTGCCATCGCCGGCATTGTGCAGGACGTGAAGTCTTGTGAAAAAACACCAACAGCGGGATCGCCGGCCCCACGATCACACACAGAGGCCTCCCCGGGCGCCTGGACACACGCGACAGACTGGTAACTCTGTCCCACAGGACAGCAGGAGCCTGGCGGAGAGAGACCGCCGGCCGCGGCCAGACGAGGCTCCAGAAACGGGCCCTGGGCAGGGCTCCCGGGGCGGGGATGAGATTCCAGCTCCTACGGGAAGACAGCCACTCGCCTTCCCGCCTCCCGGTCAGCAGGACAACGGGACGAGGCCGTTCCCCGCGGCCGCACTGACCGCCTCGCTCGCCCCCCGACACCCCCTGACCTCAACCCAGCCCACCGAACCGGAGCGGATGCAGGCCAGAACGGCAGGGTGGCGACAGAGCGCCGACGCCGTGCAGGGCCGGACGTAGACGCTGGCCGAGAAGGGGATGGAGGGGGCGGATCCTGTCCAGTCCCCCGCCTCTCTGCCCGCGCAGGCGGGGAGGTGCTGCAGCGGGGCTCTGCTTCTGGATCTAGTCTGCAGGAGGTGTGAGAGTGGCTTGAGAAAGCCAAGATTCCAGGTTTTAGACATTTTAATTCAAACCACTCTCTCGGGATGCTATGAGAAAAATGTGCTGGCCGCCGCAGACCGGAGGGGAATGCAAGCACAGACATACAGCCGCTCCCCAGAAGAGTTCGCTGAGAGGGGAGGGGCCGCCTTCCTCCGAGGCGCCGCCGGTTCCCTCTGGCCTCAACCCACCAGCTACCCCTGTCATGTGAGAAAAAACACAGACCAGCAGCTGGGTCCCCCTGCAGCTCCCAGCTGGCAGCCCACTGGAGCTCAGTAGGTGGGAGCCTGGCCAGTACCTGGATGGGAGACCTCCTGGGGAAAAACTAAGGCTGCTGCTGGAAGAGGTGTTAGTGGGGCCAGTAGGGGGCGCTCACCCTGCGGTCTGTGTGGGTCCTAATCCCCCAGTATAGTGACGGGGACACTATACTGTAAAAAGGCACCATCCTTCAGATGAGACATAAAAAACAAGGTCCTGACCCTCTGTGGTCATTAAAAATAGAAAAAGAGTAGGGGTGTTACTCCTAGTGTCCTTGCTAAATTTCCCCCTGGCCTTTACCAATCATGGCCTCCTAATAACCCCCATCTCTGAACTGGCTCCATCACTCCTCCTCGAATTAGCTGGTGTGTGGGGAGAGGACTGGTGCATCATCCAGTTGAGGCTGTGCACTGGCGGTGGAGGGGAGAGTCCCCATTCCTGGGGTATCCAGAAAAGAGCTATATAAGTGCCTCCTCACCCGTTTCAGGGCTGTGGGAAGGTAAATACCCAGATCCCCCTCGTGCATGAGGGAGCAAGAAAAAACCAAGGGTGCCGTGTGGAATCGGACCCCTGGGAAGTCGTGATACTAGTAAGATCTCACACAGGCTGCCAGGTCCAGCTTTGGTCAATACAGCAACGACGCGATGCTACAGCCTTGGAAAGAACAACAAGAATGAATCCTTGTCTCGGAGCACCGCTGTGTGTGGACAGGTGAGGGGAAGCCAATTCTCTCTAGAACAAAGGAGAATGAGAGGAGTTTTGATCCAAAGAGATCCAGAAAGATGTGCAACACTGTACCTCACTGATCGCGCCAGCAGAGCTCTCTGGGCTGGGGTCTTGGACAGGGCTGAGGGAGGCTGTGCGCAGCCCAGCTGCCTGATTAAGGAGCTGAAGGACTGCGGCAGGCAGGCAGGCACGGGTGTGTTCGAACCCGTCTCCTTGGGCGAACCCGACCGCAGCAGCGCGGACTCCACCGCCAGGGGCGTAACGACTGCCGCCGAGCGCAGCTCCACCCCCTCCTCCCCTCCCCGGCGGCGCTCGGTGATTTATGACCCCCCGACTCCTCTCTCTCACGCTCCCTCTCACGACAGCGCCCGCCCAGCAGGCTGCAGCTCGTCAGCGCAAGCCCCATCCCGGAACAGAACGAGTAACGGAACTGAAAGGCACTCTGGGAAGAGTGCCGGCGCCAGGGCAGGCCAAGGGTGTCCATCAGAGCAGCTTGGCGCGAAGACGTCGAGCACAAGGCCGCCCTTCTCCCAGGAAGGTCCGCCCACGCACACCTCTCCACCCACCATCAGGAAGCACGCGGCAGCCCGGAGCCAGCAGACACGGTGACCCTTCCCAGCGTGCCTTTAGGAACCAGGAAGAATGCAGAGCACCCGAAGAAAACCCACGTGGACGAGGAGGGGAACATGCAAGCTCCACACAGAAGGTGCACCAGGTCAGAATTGAACCCAGGACCCAAGCACAGTGAGGCAACAGTGCTCTCTGCCACTCCACCAGTACGTATACAGAGCAAGAAGACAGAGGCATGTTTGCTGTGCCCATTTCCATCCCTGTGATGATCGAGGAGGAAGCGTGTCTGCTAACACCGTCTCACGTCTCCATGACTGATAGATTCTCCAAGCCCGGGCGACAGAGCCTCGTCATCTGCTGGCACCTTGGGAGCATCCCAACGGTGCGTCTCCTCTGAAGACGGAGAGGCAGGGAGAGGGAGAGCCTCACCAGTCTCAAGCACATACTGCAGGGCGCAGACCTGCAGCTCAGCGGGCTTGTGAGACGCCGGCTTCACCTGCGTGGGGCCACGATCCGCAGCGCCCCGGCGTGTCCGCGCACGTCAGACAGGCCCTGGAAAATAATTACAGGGCTGCGGCTGCCAAGGCGGGGCGGGGGGGGGGGGGGGTGGCGCCCCGAGACGTAGCCGCAGGGCGACGACGGGACGAAAACAAACGCAGGCGCTGCAGACCAGCTCCCCGAGTCCAACGGGGAGGACAGGAAGGGGGCGGGCCGCTGGGACCCCCCAGGGACCGGCTGAGCTCCGCCCCGGGGAGGGCGAGCGGGCTGGGAGCTGGCCTGGGGTCCCAGTCTGCTGCGCAGCAGAGACTCCTGATCGCTTCCTGGGTGCCCTGGGTGCCCGGACCCCATCTGGTACTGTGCGTGACACCTCTCTCTTGCTCGGGGTGAGACAGATGCCACCTGGCTGTGCCCCTTGCCAGCGACCCTAAGCACACCCAAACTGCGTACTCGCGCCAGCGGGTCAGAGCTTGTTCCGACAGCACCACTCTTGCAAGGCTCGGATCGGAGACAGAGTTCTGACCGGGAGGTCCGCACCAGGCAAACGGCTTTCTCCAACCCCTCCAGCCCCTTCACAAAACCCTAGAAGTGCCCCCTGCTGTTCCTGCTAGTCCCTCAGCGCGGCCGGAGCAGACAGCACAGGCAGAGAGAGCCGCAGGGCTGCTAATGATGTGTGAGAGAGGGGAAAACAAAACCAAACCACCTCAGGAGATGGCAAATGCAGAAAGGAAAGAAATGTGCCGATTTGAAAATGAATCCGATTTCTGGGTTCCTGGCTGTGCACGAACGTGCTGGTGCACAGCTTTTTCTGGTCACACACACACACACACACACACACACACACACACACACACACACACACACACCTGCCTTGTTATTCACAAGAACCATTCCACACACACAGCACTGACTTATCAGGCCAGTGCAAGCTCTGCAGGTTAATTATTGACATGCAATCTGCACGTTAGCAGGGTGAATGGCCACAGGCTGTGGGAACCAGTTTTGGAGCAATCCCAGGCTCTGAACTGCGTGTGAACACCAGGCTGTAAACACGGAGACCGGCGCCAAACCCTCTCGTCTTTCTTCAGGCCAGAAACCCAGCATTTATCACACTCCTGCTCCGACTGGGCTCACACAAGAGGAGGTCTGTTTACTCCTTTCACACTCATTCATAAGAAAGGTGACAAACGAGAGGCCGTTCAGCTCATCTGGGCTCTTAGGTCGTTAGCAGTTAATTGATCCCAGGATCTCATCCAGCTGCTTCCTGGAAGAAGCCTGGAAACAACAACAACAACATGGCTTGTTCAAACCCCCTACCACCCTTTCAGTAAAGAAGTGCTTCCTGTTCTCAGTTTTAACTACACTTAATTTCCACATAATGGCCACTAGTGTCCTCTGGTTCATGAATCTGAATCTGTGTTCATGAACATTTGATGAATCTGCGTTTCATAAGGATTCATTTTATCACTGATGTGGCGTAAAACAGCGGGGATCCCAGAACATACAAGGGATCTTTGACATGTGAAACAGTGACAGAGAAGCAGGGCCAGGTCGAAAGTTTTCTGCTGCAGTGTTGCACAAACCCTCTAATCTCCCCAGGTTCGCGGATCAATAAGCCACGAGGAGCTGGATGAGCATCAAAGGCCACGGGGCCTGGTCTCTGGGCTGTTAATCTCTCTTATGTTCTTAATTTAACACGGGTGTTTGCAGCAGAGCTGGCCGTGCCCTCCGATCGCTCCTGGGTAACGAGGCCGAGCAGACGAAGAGCTCGCAGCCCTGGCAACACGTGTGCTCAAACAAACGGGCTGGGCGCTGACCTTCACAGCTCGCCGCTCCCAGACTTGTGCAACGCAATGCGCTGCCCAGTCTGGCACTTAGTAACCAGGGCGACCTGCCCGCCCGCCTCTGCCCGCCGCTCTGCTGAGCAGCTACTGAAGCACAACACCACACCGCAGCAGAGAGAGCCTCACCCGCTGGGACACACACTGGCCACGGATCTGACCTGGCCGAGAGCCTCACCCGCTGGGACACACACTGGCCACGGATCTGACCTGGCCGAGAGCCTCACCCGCTGGGACACACACCGGCCACGGATCTGACTGGGCTGAGAGCCTCACCCACCCGCTGGGACACACACCGGCCACGGATCTGACCGGGCTGAGAGACAACAAGGAAGAACAGACCCTGATGAAGCAGAGGGTCAGTGACCACAGCCTGGCCACAGAAACTGTGACACTGTGACAGTGAGGACCCTACACACCTGGGTACCCCTGGGGTTCACCCTGACAGACTGAGAGCCACAGAATAATTGTTCTGTGTTCTGCCCAGAGACGCCCCTGAGGTTCATTACCGTTACTTGTTTCTTGCGTTACTGTAGACATTAATCTCTTCATGCCCAAGAAGGCATCAATGTAGGCAGC